AAAAAAAAAAAAAAAAAGAAGGAAGGAACATTGGGCTTGTTCATTTGTTGGTCTCAGTTAAGACACCCGCATTATCTGGAGAGAGAAAGACCTTCTTTGTTCATATGTAAACGATTCACGCGATTTAGTTCTTACCAGAAACGTTAGAACAGCAATCTTGTCCTGTATTTGGCGGCCTTCAGATTTCTGAAAGAGGAAGAAAGGATTCCTTTAATCTCCATCAGTTTGTTAGCCTGCAAATCTTTCCTCTTACATATTGCCGCCTGAAGTAATTAATCAAAGGTAAAAAAAAACATAACCCCGTCTTGATTCCATTTTCCCATGTTGTTTGATTGCATGTCCCAAAGGCAAAAGCTTCCGCAAATAGATGAACAGATAGATGTCTCCATGAAATCTCGGCCTGCATGAATAAAAAGAAAAAGGGTGTTTACAATCTGTTCGACGAAATGCCTCTTAGGCCGAAGGTGTAAAAAAAAAAACACCAAGAAAAAGAAACCACCTAAAAGAAGTTGTATTTTTTTTCTAGCAAAATCGAAAATTGGTCTAGGGCTAAAAGGGAAAAGAATGCCGATTGGCCGGGAAAACCCATAAAACGATGTTTGCTCCACCTCCAGCCGACCAGAAGTCTGCCTTGGACGACCCGGCCGGGAGCAAGCCCACCCACAACTTCGTGACCTGCGTCTACACCGTAAAACTCGGGGACGCCTTCTGCAACGTGACGGTAACTTGGGCCAAGACCCTCATCAGCCACACCCTCTACATCACGGTCGAGTGCCCTGACGAGGATACCCACTACACGTGCAAGATCGACCTCAAGACCTGGCAGTTCTGGGGCAAGAAGGGCCTCAAGACCTTCTCGGTTTCTGACAAGCGAGTCGACGTCTTCTGGGACCTCCGGTGTGCGAAATTCACGACCAGTCCCCAGCCCAACTCTGACTTCTATGTGGCGATGGTCTGCAAGGAAGAAGTGGTTCTGCTGCTCGGGGACCAGAAGAACGAGGCCCTGAGGAGGACAAAGTCGAGGCCGTCCCTGGAGGATGCCCTTTTAGTGCACAAGAAGGAGCTCGTGTTTGCCAAGAAGTGCTTCTGCACGAAAACGACCCTCGGCCGGGACCGGAAGGAGCACAGCATCGTGATCGAGTCGTCCCTGAACGGGCCCTACGACCCGGAGATGTGGATCAGTGTGGATGGGACAAAGTCGATCCGTATCCCTAATTTGCATTGGAGGTTTAGAGGGAATGAAGCGATTGTGGTTGATAATATCCGGGTGCAGATTCTGTGGGATGTGCACGACTGGCTTTACAGCGGCAGCCACTCGGGTGTGGGCATTTTTGTCTTTAGGAGGGATGGTGGGGGCGAGGACCATGTGGTGGTTGAGGGAGAGGATTTGGGGGATGGTTTTTGGGATGAGGTGGCGGAGGGGTCTTTCTCTGTCGGGTTTTGTCATTTTCTGTATGCGTGGAGGATTGAGTGAGGGGGGAGAGGATCTTTTTGGATTGATACTTGCGGATTTTTGCTTGATGCCGGTGTCTTGTTTCGATTTTTCGGTAGGTTCTGTTGTTGTGTGCCTGCGTGGTTGTAGTTTTTACACGTCTAGCCACTTTCGAACTTGTTGATCTTGAATATATGATGCTTCTTCTCAAGTTGTGTTTTCATGGTTTGGACTCTGGGGACTGCAGTAAGAAAAAAGGTGTAAGAAAAAAGGTGTGTCATTTGAGGAATTTGCATTTGAATTGTAGGAAGATAACAAGATAGATTAGGAAAAAAATAGTGGATTTTGATGTGCTGCAGCATATTTGTTGCATCGTAAGATTGCTGTGTAAAAGGCTAAAAGCTAAAAAATTGGAACCTGATTTCCATGTTATAAAAGAGAGGAAAATGCTAATGTCACAGTGTCGATTGATTAGGAATTGTAACACCCTCACTTTGATTTTAAAGAAATTTTGGATTTTCTAAAAATCGATAAAACATTTTTCGAACTCATTTTTGAAATCACGGGCATTATTCAACAATTACATAGATCAAGTCGCGTTTGATCTTACGGGGATTCATTACCTAGTTTTTCACATGGTTTTCATTAATCAATGATCAACAATTTAACATGTTATTCAGCAATGTAACTCATCATGAACAACCAATACCAACATGATATTCAAAAGACACATCAAACATGAATATCCAAATAACCTGATCCAGTACGAACGAATCCAACAAAAGAGTTTTCAGAATAAACCAATTCCAACATTTTCAAAGCCAAGTCTGAAATCAACCAACATGTCCAATAAGCGCAAAGATAAGATTCATAGAAAGCGGAAGCAAAAGCAATAACAAATGACCATCCACTCGTCTCTTTATTCGTCAAGCCCGCAACTTGCCTAACCTGCATCCGTGAAGAAACATGTGGGGGTGAGCACAAATAGAAACTGTGGTGCTCAACACTATGCACATAAATAATATATAATGTAAAGAAGGTATGGTCGCAGCATGAACATAAAACAATAACATCCTGTCTCATCTCCTATTCACAACGTACCAATTAACTCACTCATGTGCACATCTATCATTAGCTGCGAAAAGGGGCTGCATAAACCCTAACGGCGGGAGTGCGTGCCACGCATCGGACACGACCTTACATATGGGTTTACGTACCTTACCAGGGCAGGACCATATAAGGACTTAAGGAGATTGCCACACAAGGGCACCGTACCGTAACTCGACGGGGACAACCGTATTGATGGCCGTAACAGCTCACATCGTTAGGCTACATGGTTCACATGCACACATTGATCATACTAACCCAACAAACGTAACATTTATGGCATAGAAATTTTAGAATAACAAACCCACCTGATTACCGAAATGGTAGAACACAACAAATAGTGGAATGTAGGTCGAGGCTCGACTCCTCAAACACCTACATTTAACAAGATAATCCTATAAATAACTATTTGACACATGAACACACATATAGCAATATTCACTTGATCCAACTCAGCTCATATAGGCCATATAAGCACGCATTTTAAAAGTAAAATCTATTTCCGAACATACAACATGAGTTTTCAAAACCTAACCCGCGCAGCGATTTTAAAATCAACATAAACTTGCAGCACATATGTCATATAATCATGATTCCAGTTGTATTTGAACCCTAAGAGATGCATCTACAATTCTTATGAAGACATAAAAAACAAATAAGGTCATTTACCAGGAGATAATTCAATAAACATTCATAACCGAGTTGCAGTCAGAAAACTTGATTTTTAAACATACCGAGCTTCAGTAATTGTCACATAACTCATGCTATAAACTTCCAAATAACATGATTCAAAGACCAACAAACAGCTAAAAAGTAAGGCTACAACTTTCATGAAGACATGAATGGCAAATAAGGACATTTGATTAAAGATTATTAATCATACATTGGAAACATGGTTGCAGTCCGAGAACAAAATTATACATCCTACAGAGCCTCAGTAAAACAGGAAAATCTCATGCTACAGACATGCTTTTGACTTGATTCAAAAACTAACAGGAAGATAACACATAAGGCTACATATTTCAGGAAGACCACTTTCATATTTGAGCACATTCAGACATCGAAAACAGGCCAAACATTTAATATAAACATGCCGCCGGGTTCACAGAAAAACTGCTTGCACAATCGTTTTGTAAAAATCATAACTCACTCAATTTAAATTGGATTTTCAAAATTCCAAAGCCCACTGAAAACTAACAGGATAAGCTACAATTCATGTGAGTAACACATTTTTAGAAAACAAGTTCTAAAGGCCAAAACAGAGGCACAACAGAGACAATAAAATCGAAATTAATCCATATAAAGTTTAATTTGCATGATAAACTTTAAAAATTTATATCTCGAGTTATACTAGGCCAATTGACTTGATTCTTGATCCTATGAACTCCTCTTTAACACAAGAAATAGCCATATTATTCGCACATTTCCAGGTTTTGCATAACATGGGTAAAAACGTATGAAAACTCAACATATAGAACATGCAAGTAAGTTGGGAGCACTTAAACCTTTAGCATGCTTGGAACTACTTAAAAAACTGAACATATGGGGCTTTAAAGCACATCATTCTAAACCTCATCTCATGTATAACAAGTCCTAAAAATAATTTAGCAAACCAACCTCTAAAACTTCAAGAAAAATAGCAGAGGAACTCGGGTATGCTCGGTTGGTGCGGATGAATTGCTCTCGGCTTTTGCTTGCGCTTTAGGGTGATGGATGCGACTTCCTTGGACTTTGATGCTTCTAAACTTCTTCTTTGGTGAGTGAAAGATGAGGTGAAGGGGTTAGAATGCTGAAGTTATCAAGAATGGATGACTAGAACTCAAATTCTCGAACACTTGCATAAGGGAGCTCTCAGTCCTCATTGGTTCTTCTCTCTCGGCATTCTCTCTATTTGGTGAGTGTTTGCTCGAAATTTGCTGATTTTTCGAAGTGTCAAAAGCTCTCTAATCAGCTGGGGGTAGAGAAGCCTAGAAGGTGGTCATGGGCGGATGAACAATGAGCAAATGGGAGACAATTCTCTTCCCAATGTGCATGGAACTTAGGGGATGCCTTGGCTGGTCTATGAACGGTTTCAAGGAGTATTTTCAGAGCATTTTGGCTGGATACAAGGTCTGGACAAGTCGCAAGGCTAAGGGAAACAAAGGCCTTACACATTGCTAATAAAATAATGCACTAGCACATGCTTTAGGCTAATTGTGGTTAACTCACCTTAATTCTTCTAAAGGCTAATTGAGCTTAATTGAACCCTTAATCTCTTGCTAATAACCGCATGAACTTGGGCTGGTCGAGTCGATTCGAAGTTCGGGTCACAATGATTTGATTAAAACGGATATGATTTCGGCTTAGCGATTAAACCGAAAATTCAAACGGTGATTGGTAAAATAAATCGAACGAATCGTAAGATTATATTATTCACTCAATAATATAATATATAACCACGTTATCAAGGCATTTACAAAAATAAAAATAAAATGCCATTAACCAAAATAAAAAATTGGAAAAATCTAATATTCGAACGGGGCGCTACAGTAAAGGTGGTTGTTTTTATTTTATACTCTAAAATATTTTTTCTTTTGATGAAAATACATATTTTAGTTAATTAATATAATGATTTTTATTTTTTATTTTTTTTTTGTCGAATGATAGGTTGTCCATAGATAAAGCTAGGGCTGAGCATGAGACTCAGAGAATTTGGAACCGTTGCGAAAACTGAACCGAAATCACTTAGAACCGAAAATAACCGTTGACCGTTTTACTTTCTCCGAACTGAGTCGAACTGAAAAAATAATTGGTACGGTTCTGGAGATTTCACAAATACCCGTAACGAGAACCGAACTGAACCGTCCCATACTGTATCGAACCGAAGAACCGAATTATCGAAATAGATGTGTGTATTAATATATTTTATGTCAACTTTGATCCTATATAATTTGATAATTTTTAAAAATGCAAATAAAAATATTGTAATAAAAATTAAAATTCACTTAAATTTCATGCTTAGTAATACTTGATCTACAATTGAACATTTTTTGTTTAAAAAAAAATGGTATAAATGGTTAAAGAAATGTTTTTGTAAGAAAATATTTAAACTTTACTTAAATTTGTCGATACTATTCTATCTTATAAGAAGAATCAATACTTAAACAAAATCCTAACGGGAGAAAAGCCTATTCCCAACAGGAGAATAACCGACTCCCGACAAGAGAATCGATACTTAAACAAACTCAAAAACCAAAACACGCAAAACACAGAAACACACAAAACCTACAAATAATAATCTAGAACTAGAATAGACCCTTCCCTAAGCAGGCTAAAAACCAAGTGCACTAGTCGGCAGCACGCACGATTGACCACCCCAATATATCGGATCATGTCCTGACAAACTGATCCAGAATCTGCCGAACCCGCCTAACTGAAACTGTTGCCCAAAGACTCAACCCGCCCCGAAGGCCAACCCTAGCTCCGAAACCAAAAAATACGTACCAACCCAAAACCCCCACTCTACTGCCGACCCAATCCCAACCCACACCATAGACCATGATCGAAAAATACCACCGACCACATGACCCGCACACCAACGGAAAAGAGGCATAGTGGATAAGGTTAGCCAGTCCTCAACCTTGAATGTTGCCACAGAGAGCCGCAACCACCCCCGAAAAGCGCCACTGCTCACCCCCAC